AGTTGTACAGAACTGCCGCTGTCTCATTGCCAGGTGTGCCATAGCCTGATAAATTTGATGACCAGAAGATGCCTCCTGATGAGTCCACGATGACGAGGTTGCTGTCATCAGAGATTCGAAGAGTCGCAGAGGAATCATTGATCGGCTGTTCTCTGTTGGCAACCCATATGACCGTCCTCTGAGGGATGTTGTACCACACCCCGGCATAGAAATCACCAGTGGAATTTGTAGGAGAGAAGAAGCCGAACACAAATTCTCCAGCATCGGAGACCAAAGTCTCATTCAGGAAGATGAATTCCCCGGGAGTGAGTCTGTCATCTGAAGCACCAAGCAGTAGAAGAGATAGAGATGATAACAAGAAGATTACAACGTACGGTAGTAGCCTCACCATCAGTCTGCAGCTTCTTTTTGTGAACCTTTATGCATTTGAGCTTCTTGCAAGTAGATAGCCAGGATTTCTTCTTTTCGCTTTCTTTCCTCTCAATGAAGGGAGATTTTTAACTCCATACTTCAAGCAGTGATCAAATTGTAGTTGGTGGGTGCTAACTTGCCCCGTTTTATTCACACATGCTAATGAAGGAGAATCCAAACAGTTAGCCAGGTTTCAGAACATCAAACCACGGGATTGCCATCTTCGTTCAGCAAGAATCTCAAAATTTGACCATCAGATTGTCACAAGAAGACAGCGCAAGAAGAGTGCACGACAAGCAAAATGACTCCTGCACCATGTCCCTGACTTTGATCATAGCAGCCTTATTGGACTCTTCTCATAGCAGAGAAAAGGATTAGTCCAACGTACTGATCCAGGCATGCCCCACTTGATTGCTGGCATTGACCAACCAAGAAGGTTCTGACCTGATCGATCATTTGAGTGAATGTAGCGTTGGGTCCAGCTCATATGTGGGCTCGGACAATTGGATTTTTGAAGTTCAAATTAAATTATTAATTAAAAGAAAAAGATTTGAATTAGGAAAAAAAAAAAAAAAAAAACAAACGGTGCAGAACGTTGTCAATTTTGACCCAAATTTTATACGGAAAATTCTTGCAGCAAGCTCTACGATCCAAATAGTGTTGATATATGGTTTACCCTCTACGAGATACTTTCTTGCTATATCCATTTTGTGAGGCCTAGAATTCTCTTTTGAGGAGATCCATGTGATGATGATATACTATTCTTGAGCCAAGATGTATGTTCTTAATGTTATTGTGATCATCTGGTTATCTTAAAGAAGATTTACTGTAAACCTATTATCATTACTATTGATAGTGGAAGTTTGAGGTGGACTACGGTCCCGTGGTTTTTCCCACGTTGGGTTTTCTATGTTAAAAGATTTGGTCTCATTGTGATTGATTTATTGCTCTATTGTTTATGCTGTGCTAGTTGATATTTGTATTTTAATTTCAAGTTGGTATTTTGATGAGGAACCAATTTTGATACACAAAGAGAGAAAAGAATTATTCCGCTTTAACATGTTATTTCCAACAAATGGTATTAGAGCAATAGGTTTTTTGGTGCTAGTTTTTCCTTATGTGATTGAAATGAAGCAATCGGATAGTATGATTAAATTGAACTCATCAAATTATTCTACTTGGAAGCATATGATGGAAGATTTGATTTATTGCAAAGGTTTGATTTATTGCCCATCATGGTTAAAGATAAACCTTCTACTATGAACAATGAGGAATGAGAAGTTCAACATAGAAAAGCTATTGCCTATATTAGAAAACGGATGGATATAAATTTGCATAAGCATATTTCTGATGAAACCAGAGCTGATGTTGTTTGGCAAAGGTTAGAAAATCTCTTTGGAAAAAGATAGTGAAAAATAGAATTTCTCTCCTCAGAAGGCTTGTAAATTTGAAGCATAAAGATGGTGGTAATATTGTTGAGCACATAAGCCTATTTTAGAGTCTTGCAAACAAGTTAGTTGCTATGAAAATAAATATAGATGATGAGATGCAAGGATTATTACTTTTTCGCTTTTTACTAGAAAGTTGGAAAACGTTTGTAGTGACAATTTGTAACTCCATGCCAAAGGGAACTCTAACTATAGATATGGTTAAAGACAATTTGCTAAATGAAGATGCTAGAAGGAAAGAACAAGGTGAATATTCTTCTAGGGCATTTGTTATTGAAAAATAAGAAAGACGTAGAAGAAGTCATAGTAGAAATCCACATGGTTATAGAGGAAGATCCAAGTCTAGAAAGATATCAAATGTTTTCACTATAACAGACTAGGTCATATGAAGAAAGAGTGTAGGTTTTGGAAGCAAGAACAGAATAAAATGAAGAAAAATGAGAAAGAGACCAATACAGTTGCTGCTGAAGGCAATATCACTATTGTTTGTGATGA